GTGTGTGTGTGTGTGTGTGTGTGTGTGTGTGTGTGTGTGTGTGTGTGTGTGTGTGTGTGTGTACTCACCTATTTGTACTCACCTATTTGTGGTTGCAGGGGTCGAGTCATAGCTCCTGGCCCCGCCTCTTCACTGATTGCTACTAGGTCCTCTCTCTCCCTGCTCCATGAGCTTTATCATACCTCGCCTTAAAACTATGTATGGTTCCCGCCTCCACTACTTCACTTTCTAGACTATTCCACGACTTGACTACTCTATGACTGAAGAAATACTTCCTAACATCCCTTTGATTCATCTGAGTCTTCAACTTCCAATTGTGACCTCTTGTGTATGTGTCCCATCTCTGGAACATCCTGTCTTTGTCCACCGTGTCTATTCTGCGCAGTATTTTATATGTCGTTATCATGTCTCCCTGACCCTCCTGGCCTCCAGTGTCGTCAGGCCGATTTCCCTCAACCTTTCTTCGTACGACAATCCCCGTAGCTCTGGGACTAGTCTTGTTGCAAACCTTTGCACTTTCTCTAATTTCTTGACGTGCTTGACTAGGTGTGGATTCCAAACTGGTGCTGCATACTCCAGTATGGGCCTGACGTAAATGGTATACATGTCTTGAACGACTCCTTATTGAGGTATCGGAACGCTATCCGTTGGTTTGCCAGGCGCCCGTATGCTGCAGCAGTTATCTGATTTATGTGCGCCTCAAGAGATATGCTCGGTGTTATACTCACCCCCAGATCTTTTTCCTTGAGTGAGGTTTGCAGTCTTTGGCCATCTAAACTATATTGTGTCTGCGGTCTTCTTTGCCCTTCCCCAATCTTCATGACTTTGCATTTGGCAGGGTTAAACTCAAGGAGCCAGTTTCTGGACCAGGCTTGTAGCCTGTCCAGGTCTCTTTGTAGTCCTGCCTGATCCTCATCCGATTTGATTCTTCTCATTAACTTCACATCATCTGCAAACAAGGACACTTCTGAGTCTATCCCTTCCGTTATGTCGTTCACATATACCAAGAACAGCACAGGTCCTAGGACTGACCCCTGTGGAACCCCGCTTGTCACAAGCGCCCACTCTGACACCTCGTCACGTACCATGACTCGTTGTTGCCTCCCTGTCAGGTATTCTCTGACCCATTGCAGTGCCTTTCCTGTTATGTGTGCCTGATCTTCTAGCTTTTTCAGTAACCTCTTGAGGAACTGTGTCGAAGGCCTTTTTGCAGTCCAAAAAAATGCAGTCGATCCATCCCTCTCTCCTCTTGTCTTACTTCTGTCACCTTGTCATAAAACTCTAGTAGGTTGTGACACAGGATTTTCCTTCCCTGAAACCATGCTGGTTGTCAATTATACACTTGTTTCTTTCCAGGTGCTCCACCACTCTCCTCCTGATGATCTTCTCCATGACCTTGCATACTATACACGTTAGTGATACAGGTCTGTAGTTTAGTGCCTCATGTCTGTCTCCCTTTTTAAAAATTGGGACTACATTTGCCATCTTCCATACCTCAGGGAGTTGCCCAGTTTCAAATGATGTGTTGAAGATCTTTGTTAATGGCACACACAATATCTCTGCTCCCTCTTTAAGGACCCACGGAGAGATGTTGTCTGGTCCCACCGCCTTTGAGGTGTCAAGTTCGCATAGCAGCTTCTTCACTTCCTCCTTGGTTATATGTACCTCATCCAGCACTTGCTGGTGTACCCCCCTGTTCTGATTTCCTGGAGTCCTACTGGTTTCCACTGTAAATACTTCTTTAAATCTCGTGTTGAGCTCCTGACATACCTCTCGGTCGTTTCTTGTGAATTCCCCATCACCCTTCCTCAGTCTGATTACCTGGTCCTTGACTGTTGTTTTCCTCCTGATGTGGCTGTACAACAGCTTCGGGTCAGTCTTGACTTTCGATGCTATGTCATTTTTCATATTGTCGCTGAGCCTCCCTTCTTATCTGTGCATATTCATTTCTGGCTCTTCGGCTAATCTCTTTTTTTCCTGAGTTCTCTGTCTTCTGTACCTTTCCATTCTCTAGTACACCTAGTTTTTGCCTCCCTACACCTTTGGGTGAACCAAGGACTCGTTCTGTTCTTCCCATTATTTCTGTTTCCCTTGGGAACAAACCTCTCCTCTGCCTCCTTGCATTTTGTTGCCACATAGTCCATCATTTCTTGTACTGGTTTTCCTGTCAGTTCCCTCTCCCACTGAATGTTTTGAAGGAAGTTCCTCATGCCTGAAGTAGTTTCCCCTTTTGTAGTTTGGTTTTTCCCACCCTATTCCTGCTACTCTCTCCACTTGGAGCTCAACTATGTAGTCGAAGCACAGAACCACATGATCACTAGCTCCGGGGCCTTTCATACAAGATATCCTCGATGTCTGAACTACTCAAGGTGAATACAAGGTCCAGTCTTGCTGGTTCATCTTCTCCTCTCTCTCTGGTAGTGTCTTAACATGTTGATGCATGAGGTTTTCCAGTACTACATCCATCATCTTGGCTCTCCATGTTTCGGAACCCCCATGGGGCTCCAGGTTTTCCCAGTCAATCTCCTTGTGATTGAAATCACCCATAACTGTAACTTTGCTCCCCCCAAAAGTCCCTCTCCGGCCACCTCGCTAGGGTGTCGACCATGGCTCTTTTTGCTCTAAACGTATTCTTCTTTTGGGTCTCCTGCAGTTCTGTGGGGGTTTGTACATTACTGCAATTATCCCCTTTAGTCCCCAGACGGGATTTTTTCCTACTAAGTAGCCCCCCTTTCACCCCCGTGCCACCCCTTTTCCTTTCCCTTTTCCCAAAAAAACCCCACGGTTTTTTAATGGGGGCAGGGGGGAAAAACTCCTCCCCCCCCTTTTCCCCTCCCCCCTGTTTTTCCTGAGGTTTTTTGAATCCGGGGGGAAAGTTTAAAATCTGTTATTTTCCCTGGTTTTTTTTGTTTCGGGTGAGTGTTTATTATGTCTGGGATGTCTCCTTGATTCTTTCTTTGCCACTCCTCATATTTAATTTTTTAAATTTTCCATCGCATTTGATACCAAACCTTAAACTTCTTTTCTAAATTTTGGTCGGGGGGGTTGTTTTGGGGGTTTGGGGGGAAAGTGGGAGACCAAATAAGGAACTATGGGGGGTTTGCTGTGGGGGTGGATTTTTAATGAAAGTGGGGGGGGGGGCTTTGGATATGACATGGGTTTTTGGTTTAGAGTTTTTGGCTGAAAGGGGGTTGCCGGGTTGGGAGGCTTCTATGGGAAGCTGTGAGGGGGGTTTTGTATTTGATCTTCTTCCTGTGTTTTGGGATCTCCTGTCCCCCCTTCTCCATCCCCTCTTTTTTCCCCCTTTTTCCCCTTTGTATCATCTTTTCTCATTTCCCCCGCCTTTCGTTTTTGTTTTCGGGTTCGCGGTCGAGATCCCAACCTTTCCCTGTATCCCGGGCATGTCCCTTAACCGTGCTTTCTCCCACAGTATCCTTTTTTCCGAGTCTTTTCTGCCTTAAAGGGTCACTTTCACGGGCCGGGGTTTCCCTTTTTTTTACAAACCCCCCTATTCTTCCGAAAATTTTCCAGCGGGGGCCCTTGTGTCTTCCCCCGATTATTTTTCATGATCTTAAATTTTGTTTTTTTTTTTCCCCTTGTTTTTTTTTTCCCAAATTTTCCCCCCTTCAATTTCCCTTTTGTACCCCCATACAAAAGCCCTAAACCTCACCCTTTCATTCCCCCACTGCATATCCCTGTGTATCCCCCTCATTAAATTTTTGATTCCCCCCATTCAGCTTTCCTTTTTTTTCCTTTCCCACCTAGCTATTTGAAACAGGGCCCTCAGGGCCGCCCTTTTCCCCTTTCTCGGTTTTCCCCGGGGCTCGTTGGGGTCTTTTGGGGCCCTTTCCAAAATATAGCTTTACCCTTTTTAAATTTACTACAGTCCCACTGAAAAGGGGCTTCTAAAAAGCAGTTTTGCTCCTTCTGCCCCCAACAGCCCCCCTTATTTGGGGCTAAAGGTTTCGGTCTCTGTTGTCAACCCCAAAATGTCTTTAGTTCTTTAGTCTGTTTCAGATTTTTCCCGGTTTCCCCTTCTAAGCTCTGTTTCCCCGGCCTCTTTTGCTTTTACTTTTCCCCCCCACTTCCTGCTTTCCATGTCTATCCTCTCCCTTTCCCTTCTTTATGCCAAATTCTTCTGTTTTTCTTTTCCCCTTCTTGTTCCCTTTTTTTGGGGCTCTGTTGCCCAATTTCCTTTGCATTTCCCCCCTCCGCCCTTGGGTTTTTTTTTGTTTTCTTTTCTGGTGGGGGGTGGGGGGTGGGTGATGTGTGGGGGGGTGTGTGGGGGGTGTGTGTTGCGTGGTGTGTTTTTGTGTGTGTTGGGGGTGTGTGGGTGTGTGTGAGGGGGTGTGTGGGGGTGTTGGTGTTTGGGGGTGTGTGGGTGTGTGTGTGTGGGTGTGCGTCCTTGTGTGTATGCATATATTTGGGTGAGTGGGAGAGGGAGAGGTGGGGAGGGGGAGGGTGAAAGAGGGAGGGGAGGGATCAGGTGAAGGAGTGAGATGTCGGTGGGGGAGGGGGGGGGAGTGTATGTGTAGTCTGGCAATATGTGTGTGTGTGTGTGTGTGTGTGTGTGTGTATTGTGTGTGTGTTGTGTGTTTGCGTGTGTGTGTTGTGTGGGGGGGGGTGTGGGGTGTGGGTGAGTGTGTGGGTGGTGTGTGGGTGGGTGTGTGTGTGCGTGTGTGGTGTGTGTGTGTGGGTGTGTGTGGGTGTGTGTGAGGGTGTGTGTGGGGGTGTTGGTGTGTGGGTGTGTGTGTGGGTGTGTGTGTGTGGGTGTGCGTCCTTGTGTGTATGCATATATTTGTATGCTCGTGTGCACATGTCCGTGCGTGCACCCTGGTGTGTGTATTTGTGCGCGCGCGCTAGTGTGGGTGTATGATCCACTTAATATTTGTATTTATAACTCATTACAATTGTGACCAGGTGTGGATGTATCAGTGGTTCATTACTTTGTAATTTGTTCATGACTGTAACCATGTATAGGAGTGAGGCTGATTCATTACCTCTGTAACTTGCCATGATTGTGACCAGATCTACCTGGAGTTCTTTACCTTTGTAACTAGTTCAGCTATCATAACTTTGGGGTCCAGTCACTGGACCCATTATGTACCTTTGTAATCTTTTGACTACCGCCCACAGGATGGGTATGTAGTGCATAATAAAGAAGTTGTGACCGGGTGTGGAAGTGTGAATTGCTCATTACACTATAATTTGTTCATGATTGTAGCCATGTATAAACGTAAGTAACCATTCTACAGAATTCATTACCTTTGTAACTTGTGAGCTCATTACCTTTGTTCCTAGTTCAGCTATCAAATCTTTGGGGGCCCAGTCCCTGGACCCATTACGTACCTCTGTAATCTGTAAATACCTTTGTAACTTGTCATGATTGTGACCAGACCTACCTGGAGTTCATTACCTTTGTAAATTGTGTGTTCATTACCTTTGTAAATTGTGAGTTCATTACCCCTGTAACTTGCTCAGCTATCAAAACTTTGGAGTCCAGTCCCTGGACCAATTATGTACCTCTGTAATCTTTTGACTACCGGCCACAGGATGGGTATGGGGTGCATAATAAACATATTAAACTAACTAACTGTCTCCCAATGAGATTACTCGTATGTATGTAATGTTGAGGTACGTACAGGTAATCACCCCTATAAAATTTTCCATAGGTGGGTTGAATGGAAGCTTGAAGGAGTTTTGTAGTATTTGTCTGCAACTTTGTTAGGTCACATGCTGGAGGAACGACGATGGTGGTGGAGGCGGGTTGATTGGAAGCTTGAAGGAGTTTTGTAGTATCCGCCTGCAGCTTTGCAATTGCGGCATAAGTGGGTGACTTGAAAATTATTTTTTCTGTGCTGCATGTTGAGTTTTCTTGATAATGTACTTGCTAGAGGGCATTTTGCGCCGATGTGTTGTCATTGCTTTTGCATTTAAACAAGTTGGTGGGATGGACAGAGGCGTAAGGAACTAAAAGTGGGCCCTCACTACCACATTTGTGCAGAACCTTTGGTGTTGTACGATAAGAAAACATTTCCCAGCAAGTGGATGTTGAAACCTTTCGTTCGTTGTAGGTGGGGCTGATGAAGAAATATACACGGGAAGACCTTCGCTCAGAGCAGGGGCGCCAAGTTCACACATTTAAAGGTATTTGAGCTGGATGAAATTTTCTTGTGTGACAAAATACGTGAACTTCACTTGCAACCCACCCTGAACGGTGGTTGCAAGAGAAAACCCCGAGGGAATCTTCAACAGCCCCACTGAGGGGCTTGTCTTGACATGATTTGCATAGCTCTCTTTGTACAAGTAAAGGGAAGACGTGGTAAAGGTTCCCCCCCCAAGGGTGATCGAGGGAGAAGGGTAAAAAAAGGGGGGTGCTATACCTGCGAGGCCCAGGTAAAAAAGCAAAATCTTCTTTTTTTTCATTTTTATTTTTATTTTTAAATATTATTTTTTATTTTATTTTTAAATTTATTATTATTATTTTTATTATTATTATTATTATTTTTATTTATTATTATTAATATTTTTATTATTGTTATTATTATTTTTAAATTTTATTTTATTATTATTATTTTATTATTATTAATATTTTTTATTTTAAAACCACTTCATTCATTTTGGTAACAGAGCTACAGAGTCCCTCTTAACATAAGATAATGGGGGGCTCAGGGGCGGGTGAAGGGGGCTCTTGGTTGAGAATTAGACCTGTCGGTCTCCTTCCCTCAGACAAACCTAATTACCCCCAACCCCCCATTCCCTATCCTCCTCCCTTTTTTCCCTTTCCTCCTCCTCCCCCCCCCCCTCCCTTTTTCCCCTTCCTTTTTGGCCTTGGGGATTTTTTATTTTTTTTTTTTATTTTTTTCTTTCCACAGGAAAGCTATTTCCCTGGGGAAAGGGGAAAGGGTACGGGGTCCATCCCATTCCGTTGAGGTTCTTGGCATTGCGTAGTTTCCCGTGGAATCTGGATTCCCTGGGGATGTCCCGATCCCTCTCCGGCCCCCAAGTGTGGCTTTGGGTGCCCCTTGGGGGGACGGGTGTATCTCGGGAAGCCCCCTTGGGTTTCCCGGGGGTGGGGGGCCGAAGGAGGTATAACATAAGAAAAAAAGAAAGGGGGAACATGGGAGGCCTGTTGGCCCATACTAGGCGGTTTTTTAAAATTCATCCCACTAACAAAATTTTTCCCCAACCCCAAATTTTTAAAAGCCCCCAAGAAAAAAAGCTCTGAGGGGAAAGTCCATCAAACCCAACCCTCCCACTCATGATTATCCAACCTAAATTTGAAATACCCAAAGTCCCGCTCAATAACCCAAACTGGGTAACTTTTCCCCTCTCAACACCCTTTTTCCCAAAACCAATTTTTCCTATATCCTTTTAAATCTAAACTTATCTAATTTAAATCCATAGGGGGAAAGGGATTTGTATGTTTGTGCTGATTTCCGGTCGCCCTCTCTTTTGTCCCCGAGGTGTGGGCAGATGTGAGGTTGTTATCCGGATTGGGGTTTACGGGGCATGGGGGTAGGGTAGGGCAGGGGTTCCATGCTCATCGATTACTTGCACTGGAGGCCCTCTTGGGCACAGGGGGATTTTGGCCCCTTTCATTCCCCGGAACTATCCCCCCTCGGTCCCCCTTTTTTTTTTCTTTTTTTTATTTTTCTTTCTTTTTTTTTTTTTGTTTTAAAAAACAAAAAGAAAGAATAACCTAACCATGGCAGCCCTGTCCATAAACCCTGCCCCCCCCGGGCCCCTTTTTGATACCGCCCCCCCTTTCTGACCCCCCCCTCGTCTTGGACCACTTTTCAGAACTCCTCTGCCTCTGTACCTCTTTCCGGTGCTGTTTCCCTCCCCCGCCGGGTATGAGGCCTAAACGATCCTTCGTTTAATGACCTTCGCTCCCCTCTACTATGTTTCAGCCTCTCCCTCTACAGCAGCGCGTTCCCCTTTGGCTTAGGCTTCTTTTTGATTATAAAATAATAATCCCCTCCGTGCGGAAATTTTCGATTCGTGCCCGTTCACGTCGGACCAACTTGGTCCCACCCCTAAACCCCAAACCGAACAATTACCTCTGTTGATTTTTCCCCACCTTCTCGTTCTTCTGAAACGACGACACTCCTTCACTTTTTTTCCACCTCAGTTTCAGACTAAACAAGGGAAAAAAAATTCTTATTTTTATGACCGATTTCCTTATGCTATTTTTGACCATAGTATTGGCAAGGCACCCCTCGCCATGTTGGTAAAGAATTTCTTTTCAGTCTTAAGAGTGGTATGGCTTTCATTACCGTACAGAATGTCCCCCGGTCATGAGCTCTCTCGTCTTCCCTATCGTACTTTCCTGCCCTCTTGAAAAACATCTTTCCCCTAATTTTGTAGGGTACCCTCTTCTGCCCTACCTAATTAAACAAAAATTTTCCGCTGTGGCACTGACTTCTTGAACAGCTGGAAACTCCAAATCTCCCAATTCTAAGGGAACACTTAGTTTTCCTGCCGCGGGCGAGAATACCCCAGCAATGTGGTCATTTAAATTTTGGGGAGCGTGAACTCCCATCCCCAGTTTATGTAGCAGGACATGGTTACAAGTTCGAAAGGGGATCCTACACGAACAGGTGAAAATTTCTGGCGATTTGGCCCCCAGGAAATATTGCAGATATCCCCAATGCCGGGCTGTGGTCCGAGCCATTTTAAACGTCTTTCAATCGACACCCCCTTGTCATGAGGGTCCCCTTTGTACTCTCGCCCTTGTCAATTACTTAAACGAGCGGGAAATCCCTTCCTCAAAAAAGGCAGAAGGTCTCTCTTTGCCCCGGCAGTTTTCGTCCCGCCTCCCAAAGGGGGACTACCCGGTTTTTTATTCCCGTTTCAAAAAAGTCCCCCCATTTGGGATCCCATTTCTCAACCCCCTTGTGGTTACCCTCCCATAGTCATCCCGTATCTAATTTTTTGCTGCCCAGGCTAGGCCCTACTTCAATGCCTCTTGATCTCGCTTTTGTGTTCCCCTACAAGCCTCAGTAGCGACGAGATCTGTATGACCCTCCCTTTAATCTCCCTCTACTTCTCAAAAGTAAAAAAAGGCGTTAAAACCCCCCCTACCCATCTTCCCCCCCCCTTTTTCCTAACCTGTCTCTGTACCTGGTTCTTCGCCCCTTTACTGGCTCTGTTAAAAGTGTAGAGGTTTTACCCCCCTTTTATGTACCTACCTCCCTGTTCCCCCCAAGTTTCTTTCCCCCCTTTTTGCCCCCCCAGGTTCTGCCTTTCGTCCCCCTTCCCCGTTTTTTCCATTTTCCCCCCACCTTTCGCCCCCCCCCCCCTTGGTACGCCCTTCAGTTCCAATCTTACTCATCCTAACTACCCTTTCCAATATTGTTCCCCTACGACGTTCTGTGAATTCCGAAACACTTGAAGAATCTCTGAATATATTGCGAGACCAAACCCTCATTGGCATGATCCCCCCTCTTTCCTTCTCTCCCTCTGCTCCATCTGCCAATCCTTCTTCAGAGTGCACCATTTCTTCGTGCTTGAAGTTTTCCCGCCTCCTGTGGTTTTCTAACCCCCTCAAGTGAGGAACCCCACCGCGGATTTCAAGTATCTTTTTCATGCCAAACATGGCCTTTTTACAGTGGAACAACCGGGGAAAGGGGAATCGGGGTGAGCTTCGAGTTCTCTCCCGTTTTTCCCCCGTTGGTGTTTGCTTACAGGAACCCAAAAATTTCACTCTCTGTTATCTCTCCCATCTCAGGTATATTTAGTATTCTTCGATCCTTTTTTAATGGGCCTTTAAGAAAGTGCCCTTCTTCTACACATGATTTCCATACCTCAGCTATTGTTTTACTTTTTCCTTAAAGCAGCCCGTATCTACTTGCATGGTGGTATATGCTTGTTCTTCATATCTCTCTCCTTTTCGGCATATCTTTCGGTTATTTTCCTTTTTGTTTTGTCTTTTTCCCCACCGATTTGTTACTTGGCGATTTTTAAAGCCCACCAATTTCCTCGGGGGTCTCACTGTGATTCCTGTGGCATTAGAGGCTTTTCTTGCCACCACTCCATCCATTTTTAAATAAAGGGCTCACACCCCTTTTGTTTCCCCGGACCCCACTCTTCTTGCACGATCTTCGTTGCTCTTCCTCCACTGCTTAGTCACTTGGTCTGTTCTCCCGACTTT